ATGTGCTGAAATATATGTGTTATTAATATCATTTAAATTACCTATAATTTATTTCTAGAAGATTTTGTTTTACATCCTGCAAGAACACCAATTGCTGATTTTCTTAACGAAAAGAAAACCCCAATACAATCTCGACTAATAGAATTTGGAGTTCAAACAAGTGTAAATAGAAATCTATTTTACAGACAGAGTATGAAAAACAATAATTAATTAATATATCAAATTACTTTATAGAAATATAAAAAAATTAAAGATTATTTAAATTCACAAAATAATAGTCACTATTGATGATTATTATTTAGAAAATATTTTAATTTAAACATTAAACAGTTATTTTTTAGTTTTTTTCAAATGTTTTAAAATAACAACATTAATAAATATCTTAAAAATTAATCAAAATATTCTCATTATTTGTGTAATATTATTTACAACTTGCATATTTATTAAATTGGTTTCAGTAATTAATAATAACCTGAAATAATAATAAAAAAATTATAACATTGTAAGCAATTGTTTTAAAAAATAACTATTTAGTATTAATTTTATTAAAATTTTATTTTTGTAGAAGATTCAGTTAATTACTTTCAATAAAAACTTGTTGAATATTAAAAGTGTCAAATGTCTAGAGTATCAAATACATTCAATCATTATTTACATCTTTTATATTGATATTTTGTACGATCCTAACCTATAATTTAAATGCTATTATTAATTATTCAATTTGTATTTGTTGTGTTTTTTTATTTACCTATACAGTATAATATACTACAGACAACTACACACAATAATATACAGCAGTGGCATACCCAGAGGGGGCTGATGGGACCTGGCACTCTCCAAAATGATAAGAAAATGTCATTAAAAAGTTTTCCAAAAAAAAAAAATGCGTTATTTAGAGGATGTACAACGTAATGTACATTACGTACATTATATATATTACAGGATGTAACAAACGTACAACAGGATGTATATCATTTAATGTCGACATAACCGATATACTCACTGAGAAAGTTCAAATGAGATTCAGCATAAATAACGAACGAATAATCTGAAATTTTTTGAGTTGATAATAAGTAATTGAATCGCTTATAAGCAATTTGTCTGAAAATTAACTTTTTATTTTTTATTTTTGACTCTTTCAGCCTTGTGATGAGCTATTTTCTATGCTCATCGTAAGTTAAGCCAGGCCCATAATGGGGCGGCAGGGTAATGAGGGATTGGCCCGAAATAAGTAGGACAAACAACTCAAAAATTTCTAGAAGATTCTCAAAAATTCTAGAAGGAACCCCTTCCGAATTCGATTCAGCATCTCCCAGAGTGTCAGACTGGCGTCTTTATTGTCTCCGCCATCCAGCTGAATTTAAAATTAATTACGAATGATTAAATTTCTAAACTTTTTACTCAAGAATAACTTTAGGTTTTAACTGAAATAGAAGTAAATTTTCGGGATTCCGGAGGCACACTAGTGTGCCGTAGCATCCCGAAGTATCGCGAAACCCGTGAAGTATCGTTGCGGCACCCTAATATGCCGTAATGATATTTCAGGGGTACAACGAAATATAGAACTACACAGCGCCGTAACATTTATTATATGTATTATTAGCGTGCAAAAAACCAATAACTATCAATACATTGATATAGAAATAGGAGTGCCGCAAAAAGAAAATTAAAAGGTTGGGTGCCATTGTTAGAAAATTGAAAAACATTGACTTAGGGACTGTCCCTAAATTACGTAACGCAGATATGGATGGATGGGCATGCAAATAATCGTTACGATGCGTTACGAGGGGTTGGGAATGTTTACATATACGTTACGTAATGTTGGGGTAACAAACTGGTTCATAGTTGTTTCTGAGGGGTTGCATAGCGAACCCTACTGTCATGTAATTAGTAAAGTAATATAACGTTCAGTATCCCTTACTGTATATTAAGATTCCCTAATTATATTAAAGAATCTTAATGCGCAGCACGGGGGAATCTTAATACAATTAAGGAGATTGATCAAGGATAGATATGCGTTACGTAATTTTGGGCACGAGTATGTAAGACGGCGTTACACAAGGGTGAAATGACAGTTGAAAAGTATAAAAATGATGTTATTTGTGGACGATCCCTTATCACTAATGGCATAAATCGTTTTTTTTTTTATCTCTCTTCCGTGCTATCTGGACCCAATTAAGGTCAGACCCACCTGTAATGTTCAACTTTATATAGCCGGCTGCAATGAAACTTCCTACTAACTAATCAATCAAAAAGTTCTAACAAATGATATGAAGAACTCATAAAGATGGTCGCTAATATACAATTAGCGACCATCTTTATGAGTTCTTCATCTAATTCATCTAAGGAACATAAGTGTTAAATTGAGAATACATCTCAATTTAACACTTATGTTCCTTAGATGAATTTCAATGAAAATTTTTTGAAATGCATTGCAACTTTATTGTAAAATTCTAATATAATTTTCTATTTAATTCGATTTTATTACAGATTAGTTTTAATGCAAATCTATTTTATGGTAAGTTATGATTTAATTTTAGTTTTTAAAAAGGTCCCATATTATCGATAGACTTCGATCTCTTACACAATATTCATTCTATTTATTCAATGCGCGAAGCCAGTCAGACATCGTTACAAGCAAAATCTATCAGTGTCCAAAGTTTAACAGAAATCGTTACTGAAGTAGAAAAGATGAGAAAAAAATCTGCTTTAGCTTTTCTATATAAATTATATCAAACGAAAAATTGCAGACAATATATATATTTATATCGTACATTGATTGTATTTTATTATTAATTTTCTTAGATTACAAATAAAATATTAAATTCTTATTATGTCATCTAATAAAAGTTGAGTCCTCTAGAATTAATTACATAAACATTTTTTAATATTTTAATTATATTCGTTGATTTGAAATATTTGATTTTTTAATATTATATTTATAAAAATGAATTTTATTTTTGCAGAAAATAGAAAAGTAATATAGAATACAGCTATAGAAATTTAACTACTGCATATGAGGAAGTACTTGAAATGTCCTTGTCTGAATTCTTATTGTTTCTTATTTATACATTAATTTCGATTGTTTCTATTAACTATTTCTGATAGCACTTTTACTTATTTTTCCTGAAATGCTTTCCTCATGTTTAATCATTATCATATTTTTCAAATTAATCATAACTTAGATTATGAAAAATGCGGAATAATTAATAATATGTCAAAAAATTTTTTATCTTATCTTTAACGGGAAAGAAACAAATTTCAAAATTTGGAATAAACGTGAAAATTTTATTTCCAAATATTTACTTTTATCTTATTATTCTTTTTAACAGGAAAATTTGTAATCATTTGTAAATCATTTCTGTAGGCAAAATATAAAAAAAAAAAAGAATTGTGAATTTACAATATTATAATAATTAAAAATAATGTTATACATAATCAACTACATTATCATACATTTTTTTTTAAAACAAGTTTAAATATAGTCTTAGTATACTTTGATTAACAACACTTTAAATCATTAGATAAAAGTTATTATCCGAAGCAGGTCAAACATTAAGTAAGAAGTTTTGCAATCAGGAAATAATATCCAAAATTAGACACTTTTTAAAAAGAATAATTACTTTTTTCCCTATAGAATTGACAGATCAGATATGATTCTGATTAAATAGAATTTTAAATAAATAAATAAAATGATATTCCTTTCTAAGAATTCTATTTTATGTTGCAAAAAGCTATCATCCACACTATTGTTACCTATAGATGATTTTTTCCTATATTTCCTGCTTTTTTATCATTGTTCATTGAGTAAACCTTGGTTTCGCAGTTTGATTTTATGTAAGGATATTTCAAAGCTATTTAATTAAGAAATTTAAAAATTTTTCCTTGCTTTAAGTTATCCTTTATGTTTTATATCATCATTTATATATATATATATAGGCTATGTAAATTTAACATATGATATTTAAAAACATAGCATATGGTATGTATACACCATATGCTAAAGTGGAGTACCACTTGACGGACATCAGATATTGAAAATTTTAAAATTGCCATTACAAAATTTGACCAAATTATATTTTGCAACGTTAATTTTGTTCTTTTACTTATAAAAAAAAATTCTAATAAGATATGAAATCAATCTCCTGTTGCTGTCAAAGCTTTGTTCATAAATAAAAGAGCTATTTTAAAATGTAATTGAGCAACTGTTCATCAATCTTAATGAATGCGATATTATAGTTTCATTTCTACTTCGTTCATTATAACACGAAGACAGGCTTTAACCTGTTTTTGTTTCAATTTTATAGTTAAAAATCTGGCACAGGGCCTATTTTTTCAATTTAAATTATCAATTATTCGAGCGTTGTTAAATTTTTGATTAATTCACGTGAGAAAATTTTCAGCGAAATTAATTAACCCCAATGAAAAATATATTAAAAAAATCCTACATTATTAAAAACGTTTTCATAAATTAAATCTAATGAAAGCGTAAATTTTATGTTTTTTAAGCAGCATTTTAATGAAAAGTTATTATAAAATAGTGTATTGTTGATATTTTATTAGGCTAATACAGTATATTCTCTTATATATATATAGACCTATATGTAGCTTATATATAGAAAGGAATGGAAAATTGTTTGCTTTATCAAATATAGTCAAAATACAGAATAAAATCCAAGAAAGAATTAAAAAATAATAATGTTATTTCTAATTCTGTTAGTAGAAGAAACTGTTCCTCAACGTCATATCCGGTGAGAAAAACACACACGTAATTACAACTGCTCCATTATTTATTAATAGATATACGTTATAATATAAAGCAGAATTAAATTAATAAACAATGAGCTAAACATATTATATTAATATAAAAAATGATAAAATCTTAGCCTATTTATTGAAACCCATAAATAATGTGCTGCAACATTTTTATGATATAACGAAACCGGTTTTTCATTTACTTTCAAACTTATATTTACTGTCTCAGACGTAAGTACAGTACATATATGTTTGAACGTAACTCTTTAAATGTCCTTCATACTCATTAATTCTACCAATTTTCATAAAAGACGAATCAAAACTTTTTCATTTATAAACAGTATGGAACTAATGATAACGTAAATTATATATTTGCAATTTTTCTTCAAATTAATATTTATTTAAATCAAGTCATTAATCATGATTATTTTCTAATGTGAACAGATAGGAACTTACGATCCAACAAGGAATTCATCTAATGATATTCATTTGCTGGAGTTTATTCCACATTACATTTGAATAATAAAATGGTGAGTATTTATGAAGATAAAATAAATATTTTTCAATTATTATATTTTTCTACAAGAGAAGATAAATTGCTTTTATGAGAAGATTATTTTAAATTGTTAGTATTTATTAATAAACGAACGTTGAATGGCATGAAATATCTACCAGTGAAAAATCAGTTAGTAAAAAACATAATAATAAAATCATATTTTAACTAAAATTAAATTTTGTAAATGCTCTTTTTTTGAATAAATTTAGACTGCAAATGTTATCTCGATTATATTCGAGAGCAGATAAGTATTAACATACTTTCAACACATTCTTGAAATCACTGATAACAACATAAGTCAACAGAATTGAAATATTTAATGAAGGAATTCGAAATGAGGGGTAAATTAAATCCAGTTTTAAAATAAGAGACAAGTGGCTATAAATAAAGCGTGAAAAAACAAAGAACACATCAGACACAACACATTAAATCACTCTACTTTTATCACATAAACAATAATTATTGTAGACTAAGCTAATTATTTTTTGTCTCAGTCTACTTCATGAAATAATAGTTCCTTGATTAACCTTCAAAAATAAATTTTAATATAACAAGGTCAATAGACGTAGTATTTCTATCAATCTAATACTATTTACTCTAATCAAATTTTCACATATGAACAGAACGTGATCAAAGAGACTTGTTCATAGGTTAACTTATCGCGGTTAAATGAAATTAATTCCATTTCTATAATTCACTTACTTCCAGAAAAAAAAAAGGATATTTCTTTTCTTAAAAAAATAATTTCAAAATTGTTATCAGTAATTATGAATGTTAATATTGTTGTAGGAATATTAAAATATGGTTAAAATCGAACAAATGTCTCCCATTAGTAACTAGAAACAAACCGTAATGTGACACCAAGGTCGTGTTGTAATATTACATTTGGGAAATCCAAATTAAATTTCTTGTTAATAAACGATCTAAGTTCCATCAAGTTTACTTTCTCTTATAATACAAAACCTTTAAACCTTTAAACCCGTGTCTGGAGGCTTAATTTTAAACCTTTAGACAGATTTTCGATCAAGTCTAGAGTTGAACGAACTAAACTTTATGGTTAAAGCAAAACAAGTATTTAATATTTAATTGCTTTATTCGAAGAGTTCCTAATTTATTAAAATCTAACATTTTTAATATAAAATTCTAAAACGTTAGATAAATATATTGCTTACAGCTAATAATCGCATATATTCAGTATTTTTTTTATTTTTTCATTCTTTTAACGATTAAATAATATTAAATTTTGCATGTCTATAAAATTTTATTACTTTGTTAATTGTTTTATATTTATTTTCATTATGTTTAATTCATATTTTTTCTGATTTTTTATCAACTGCGAACTGCTATAGGACTAATAATAATACAATCGTTCCTTTTTCAATGGAGGAAGGAAATTGTAAAATTCCTTCCTTTGATCACCAGATGTTAACGCGATTCACTTTTGTAATTTCCTAATTTATCCACGAACAAATATATATATATATATATATTTTTTTTTTAATTTTTCAACATTGTATTAATGTGCTTATCAAAAATTCACTATCACAACTTGGTTCAAATAAATCAATAAACTGTTCGATGGACTTATTGAACTATGATCTAATGCAGTCTATCAATACTTTCAATCTTCTCTTTTTATAGAACATGCCATTTTACCATTCATTTTCTATGGTTAATATTTTATGTATAAGCAAAATGTTTAATTTTTCCTTTTTAAAATGTTACAATAATCTAATTTCTATATAAGTATAATAGAGTGTATCTTTAGGGCCAAAGTCTAAGGGAGTTGAGACGAGGCCAGAAAGTCACAAATGAAGAGCAATCTCTGAAAACATCTTTAAAAGTTGTATATGAATAAAATTAATAAAATAAAAACAGATTTTTTTCACCGCTTATCCAAAGAAACTTTCATTTGCATTGCTTTTATATGTTTTTACATAAAGGACTAAATCTTGGGAGCTTGTCTATATTCAGAAACTGGGCTACATAGCCTTTCTGACATTCTCTTGATTTGGATTGGTTTAAGGATGTTTATGTTAATTTAACAGATTTTATTAAAATGAGATTTCTAGTCATTATTAAACGCATTCAGAACCGCAGCCAGGGTGGCTATGAGGTGACTAAGCTTTTTCAGCTTAGTCAGCAGTGCCCACATGCAGTATTGCTTTCGCTTTCATCACATAAACTTAGGCTACTGTTTCGTCTGTAACTAATAGACATAGTGTTGAGTGGAAAAGAAAAAATTCCAGAATTTTTTCAGTTTGCTCCTTTCGACCCTAGTGAACTATTCCTGGCTACAGGACTGAATGCATTGATAATTTCTGCGTAGAAAAACAGAATCGAACTACAAATCCAAAAATATATGGTATTAATAAGCATACGAAATCAGAAAAATATTGAGCATGTTTAATTATTTTAATTTAATTGAGTTTTTTTTATCTAACTAAAGCAAGGCTTTGCATACGAGTATTTTCCAAATGCAGGTGTTTGGGATTTAACTTCTTCCATTAGAAAAGTATTGAAAATTTAAATAAAAAACAACAACACATTTATCTGTATCTGTTCAGTTCCTTTAATATACTGTGTTATTATATATATTGTAAAAACTAATGAATTATATTATGAAAAAAATACATAGTATTTTTAAAGCTCAACCCTTTTAAAAACCTGCCCAAGAGCCTGAATTTAGACCAATCGTATGGCTGATATCTATTAGATTTGAAAGCGGTGAAAGGAAAACAAATAGACGAATCTATAATCAAACTTTTTGCTGAAATATAAATTTTATTTTTATTTTTATAAAAATAAAATAAAATAAACGTAATAAAAATGTTATCTTGAAAACAATAAAATTACTCATTTTTGCAACATTTTACAAAAATGTATATTAAATATAAATATATATATTAATATTATGTTATATATTATATTACTATATATTTTTTAAATATAATTAAATGTAAATTTTTGCAACAGTTATCAAGGAAATTACCAAAGAAAAATAAAGTAATTCAAAATATTTAATTTTCTGTACAAATATGTACTTAATATGTTATAAATCCATATTTTGCCTGAAGCAAAATAAACACATAAGAATTTTTAAAATTTTATTTTATTTATTTCATCCATCTCTAAAACACTTAACATCTATAAATTATTTTTAAATAAAATCTATACTTTTTACAATTACTTTTAAATAAAAATTATCAGAACTACTTCTTAATGATAAAATTAGTTAATCGATATTATTTCGATTAGATTTTTTCATAAAAACTAAATGTTTTTCATGAATCCATAAATTTTTTTCTTGAAATTCCTTCTTTAATCTTGGATCTCATTCTGATAGAAAGATTATTTCAATTTCAAGAGAAGAAATTTCCAATATTCAGTTATAGTCAAATATCAATTTAAATTCCTTAATTCTAGACAAATCTTAATTCTTCTTAGAACATTTTTACCGAAATACTGAGCTAATTGAAAATAGATGTTTTGAGATTTTACATTAATGTAAATACTTTTGTGAAACATGTTAGGACTATATGATGTTAAGTATTGTGATATTTACGCTGAAATAGCTAAATATAGCAATAATATTATACTGTATATTTATCCTTATCAAAGACAGACATCGGAATAAATTCAATTCAGTTTGCAGGACCGTATTTAATTTAATATTAGGTTATATCTAAAAGGCTTGTATAAAAATATCCATAACTTTAAATTTTAATTGAAAACTTTAAATATTATAAAATATTATGCTAAATTTTAATTAATTTTCAATTCAGTTTAAATTTTCATATTTCTAAACTTTCTTAGCATTAACATTTTTACAGAACTATTAACATTGCCTTGCCAATATTTCTGCCTTGGCATTGATAAATCTGAAGACCTTAATATCTAACATATTATTGAATAGCATGCCAATACAGTATATTAAATGCAAGTTCTGATTAACTNATTTCCAAATATTTACTTTTATCTTATTATTCTTTTTAACAGGAAAATTTGTAATCATTTGTAAATCATTTCTGTAGGCAAAATATAAAAAAAAAAAAGAATTGTGAATTTACAATATTATAATAATTAAAAATTTTATAATTATTCATTTCCAACTATTATAAAAAAACCACTATATTTTAAATTCATAAATTTTTTCTATTAAGAACACTACCTAAAATTTATTTTAAACAGAAATTTAAGAAATTCTTTTTTTTGAAAAACCTTTTGAATACTTTGTCTATGTTTAAAGTAAAATCATCTATCAGCCTATATAATGGATTAACATTGAAAATACGTTTTCTATGAAGATGATAAATGAATAATTTAATTATTGATTTATGATTATTGACGATACTAAGTTCAAATAAATTTCAAGTATGTAAGTATCTAAAATTTAAATCTCAACAACTTCATAATAATTCCTAAATTATTTAAATTGTCAATTATGAAAAACAAAAATATTATTCAGTAATTTTGTTATGAGAAGGATTGGATGAAAATATATTTACACGAAAAATAATATATCAAAAACATTATTAAAAGTCGGACCATATGATGTGATTTCTAGGAATATTGTGATTTACAGATTAGATGAGATAATTCGCTCATTCACCTTAACTTATCTTCCTTTAATTCAGATTAATTAATTAACATATGAACTTTTAAATATGAAATTAAGCATAAAATATAATTTTCTTCACAAAAATAATTATCTTTCTATGTACTAAGATATTATTTATCTATTTATGGTTCGTTCACGTGTTATAAAATCAAATCGTTACGTAAATTATCGATTTATCCTTTATCGCATCACACCATTTGTAACGTTATCCAAAAATTGTTGACATGTATATGCTGAGTAATTAAATTATAATAATCTTATAAAGTTTACGTAAATTTGTATAGTAAATTTCAGGATTATTTTTATAGAATTAANGACTTAGGTTATTAATTGTTTACAATATAGGATACTAAAGAGAAACCAAACGGGTATAAAATAAATGTTTTATACAATATAACATAGTAGACTAAACATTATTATTACTGTATTATTATTATTGTTGTTGTTGTTGTTGTTTTGAATTGCCAAATGGAAAGGGTTAAACCCCGAAAACTCTTGTATAGATTTATTATACAGAATTTTACTTATTATAAAAATCTTCGTTGTAGCTTGTCTTTGATTATTATATTTTTCTCTTCTACCAACATAGCTACAAATTTGGCTATTAATCAGGACTTATCACGATAATCAATAATGTAACTAGATTATAACTTCTTTATTCTTGAATTAACTCCAAAATGTCTTTGACCTCTCTTCAGTTGGCGTAAACCATTTTCATAAGCTAGTAAAATTCATAAAATTTCTAAAATAAATTCTAATCTGACCAGTCTTTTGATTGTGGTGTGATACGTCCCGATTAATAGCCAACTTGGTAGCTGTATTGGTAGAAGAGAAAATTATTATACAGAATTTTAAAAATTTCGGAAAACGCAACTGAAATATTTACACTATATCTATTTTATTCTTGAATTAACTCCAAAATGTCTTTGACCCTTCTTCAGTTGGCGTAAACCATTTTCATAAAGTAAAATTCATAAAATTTCTAAAATAAATTCTAATCTGACCAGTCTTTTGATTGTGGTGTGATAACTCCCGATTAATAGCCAACTTGGTAGCTATATTGATAGAAGAGAAAATTATTATACAGAATTTTAAAAATTTCGGAAAACGCAACTGAAATATTTACACTATATCTATCAGTTATGCGGAAAAAAGTATATAAAATATTAATACAGCAAAATCTTTTATTAGGCAATAAAATGTCATAATTATTAATACAGATTGTGATTTATAATTTTTAATTAAAAAAACCAGTTTAAATCAAAATAAATGTTGTTTGAATATTAAATAAAATAACTATTTTATTTTATTTTAAAAATTTAACAGATACTTTTCAATATATATATATATAGACATTATATCAAAAGGTCATTGCTTAAATTGTAAACAAACAACCCTACTAAACAAGTCACACCACATTTAACATCCTATTTGTTACTATCAGTCTGATAAAATATATCAATATTCTATAAATAATACTGATTGAAACTCCTCTTTAATTTTCCTAAACAATATAATAATTAAAAATTTTATAATTATTCATTTCCAACTATTATAAAAAAACCACTATATTTTAAATTCATAAATTTTTTCTATTAAGAACACTACCTAAAATTTATTTTAAACAGAAATTTAAGAAATTCTTTTTTTTGAAAAACCTTTTGAATACTTTGTCTATGTTTAAAGTAAAATCATCTATCAGCCTATATAATGGATTAACATTGAAAATACGTTTTCTATGAAGATGATAAATGAATAATTTAATTATTGATTTATGATTATTGACGATACTAAGTTCAAATAAATTTCAAGTATGTAAGTATCTAAAATTTAAATCTCAACAACTTCATAATAATTCCTAAATTATTTAAATTGTCAATTATGAAAAACAAAAATATTATTCAGTAATTTTGTTATGAGAAGGATTGGATGAAAATATATTTACACGAAAAATAATATATCAAAAACATTATTAAAAGTCGGACCATATGATGTGATTTCTAGGAATATTGTGATTTACAGATTAGATGAGATAATTCGCTCATTCACCTTAACTTATCTTCCTTTAATTCAGATTAATTAATTAACATATGAACTTTTAAATATGAAATTAAGCATAAAATATAATTTTCTTCACAAAAATAATTATCTTTCTATGTACTAAGATATTATTTATCTATTTATGGTTCGTTCACGTGTTATAAAATCAAATCGTTACGTAAATTATCGATTTATCCTTTATCGCATCACACCATTTGTAACGTTATCCAAAAATTGTTGACATGTATATGCTGAGTAATTAAATTATAATAATCTTATAAAGTTTACGTAAATTTGTATAGTAAATTTCAGGATTATTTTTATAGAAATTAAAAATTTTTTTTTTAATAATGAAGGAATCTGTATATATAAACATATACATAATCAATCAGAATAAATGAGAAATATATTGCCTTCAATAAGCTTTAATTAATATTAAATTTCATAATATAAAAATAGATAGCTTTCCTTATCTATCCTTGACCCTATTTAATGTCTCAAGGAAACTTTTAAAGGTTTAATAAGTCGTAATACTTATGATTTTATCCAGCGCTGGATTTATTTTAACATCAACATGATGCTTTGAAAGGCAGATTATTATTATTATTTTTTGTTTTGTTTTTTTTATCCAAGAGCAAACAATTACAACTAAATAAAAAAAATATCGATTTTCAAAATTTAATTTTTATTGAAAAACAATTATTTGGCTTCTCATTATAAAATTATTTTCCAGGCCTTTTTAAAAAGTATTATATAAAATTAAGTTTTTAAGTTTTTATATATATATAAGAAAGATGATTTTTAATATTGGAATTACAGTCGACCCCATATAACACTGTATTTGTAAAATCTAAGTGACTCGTACAACATGGAATTCATATAAAACGGAATTATCAACAGTGTTATAAGGGGTCGACTGTATATTGGCATGTGTAGTCTTTTCTGAAATTATTATTTTTTTAAACTATTAATTTCTTAATAATAATAAATGCAAAATAAAAATAAATGATTAAAAATTAGACTGAAATATAGTAAAATAATTTTTAAATACATTGTACTTTTTTTATTTATTTAAAAAAATTTGAATTATTAAGAATTTAAATTATTTATTTTTAGTGTTGAAATTTGAAATTAATTTTAAATAATTCACTATACATAAAATTATGGCAAATACATATTTTAAGTTAATTTGCTATAAATTATTCAAAATAAAAATATTTTTAATTATAGAAAAAAATGCGTAAAATATCGTAATTAATATTTAAAAATTTTACTTTATTTATTGCAATATTTTAAATACATTTAAAATTCTATTTAATATTATAATTAATATCAAATTGTAAGTTTTTCACGAATATTTTATATATTTTTTTAATATAAAATTTTGTAATTATAATATTTACAAGAAAACAAAAAATATAATGTTAAATATGTAAAAATAATTACGTAATAATTTAAAATTCAGCAATAAATTGTTTATGTAAATTAATTTTTAAATTTTATAAACCGAAATTATTTTGTGATTTGTACTTTCATTTTGAAAATGAAAGTGAAAGAACAAATCATAAGTAGAACATGTGGAAAGTATTAAAAATACCGTAAATTAAACTAAATATTTTTTATTATGATATTATTATTATTAGTAGTAGTAGTAGTAGTATTAGTATTATTATTTGATTAATGTCAACAAATTTTTATATATCGGCCATCATGTAACTATTATATCATTCATTAATGAATATTCTTTCAAAAATTGTAACAAAATCATATTAAAAATATTTTTGTTAAAAAATTTAGAAAATTTGTAATATATTTTATTAATGTCTCGTAATAAAATCGTTTTAATAGAATTTTCGTTTGATACTTATATTCGAGAAATAAAATTTAAATATAAATAATTGCGTCATCATAATCTCCATCCGGACTAAAAAGAAATTAACCTTTAATTTTTTTTTTGTTTTTTTCTTTCTTGTATATAAATAAAATTAAAATATTCATATTGTTAATACTTTAAAAATTAATTCAATATCAATAACATTATCTATACATAAATTTTTATAAAAATTATTAATTAATTTCTACTTGAAAATTAAACAAATTTTAAAATTCGACTAAAACATCACAATCTAACTTAAAAATAACATTATATTAATTATAATTAAATAATATAGTTTCGTTTCTAGAAAAATATCGCGTATAGAATTTCCAAATTTTGTTTGATGACGATAGGAAAATCACATTTCCCGCCCGACGTAAACAAAACTTCACGCTTTCTGCAATAACGGAAGTGACGTCGCTACACGTCACGAGTGGTACGATATTTTCGAACGCCACGATTAGTCGCCCCGAACCACGTGATATAATTTGATCGAATACACCTCCTACTAAGAAGCCAATGGGAAGTCAAGTTTACGTGACGTGTACTACGTCGCAGACTGGGATGAAGTGTTTAATGTCGGAACACGAATGAATTAACTTCAGAACCGGCTCGGGGTTTGTTATTAAATTTAAAAATTAATCCGTAATTTGTATCGTTTGGTGATTATTATAACTAATTCAGTTGACGGAGAAGTTATAAGCGTTGAAGGTGAGTCATTATGTAGTAACTTATACAATAACTACGAACCTTATAAGGTAGAATACGATACGTTTTTATAAATCGGGGATTTAATTTTAGTTTTTTTATTGTTTATTAATTAAAATATACTTCATATAAGTTCCTCATGATATATACATATTGTCTTTACAATTATATTACTTTGTATATTCTAAAATAAGGTTCAAATCAACAATATTTCATAATAATTTGGTTTATTCCATTATGCTAAACACAACAGTAAAACAATTTACTACTATAAAACAAGAATGAACACACAATTTTATTTACACAAGAACCTATTGTGATTTAACACTAGATACATAATGTAATGAACTGTTGATTTATTATTCAATTCAGAAGTGTATTATTATTATTATTTTTTCTAACTCCTAAAATATTGTACATTAAAGATATATACTTTTACAATTATACACTAAATATTCAAAGGAAAGAAATTTTAAGTTAATAAATTCTTTTCACACTATTTTGGAATTGTCAAATTTAACATTTTTTTTTTTTTGTGTAATTCAGTGTTTCTTGTGTACAATTTTAGTAAATAATAATAAATAATGCTTTATACAACCAATACTCTCATTATTTTTTTTATTAATAGATTTTGCAGATTAAAAAAAAAAAATTGAACTTGGTCTCATTCAAGAAATGAAGTAAACTTCATACTGGTATTATTTCATTTTTGTTTTTTTTTTTTTAATTTACAAATTTTTATTATTTTTCAAAAGATTTTTATGTTTTTGTTAAAATATGCCTTTTTTTTTCTTATTTTTATTCTTTTTTTTTATTTAGGATATTACTTAAATTGTCCTAAATTCAGTATGTGAAAGCTGAACATAATTATTAGATAACCTGACATTGTACTTGTTTTGTTGACATATTTTGAAGTAAATTATTTTAGAAACTTTTGAAATATATATACATATATACAGGCAAATTTTTAAGTCTGACATGAATTTGTGTAATTTTTCAAACTTTAGTAAAATACACACAGGATAACAGCATCGTTTCTCAAGCAAACAGATAAGAATATAATGGAAAATTTTGCTTTTAAATAAATATTACAACAGAATATAACAGAATAATGTTTTTAACAAAGTAACAAAACAAATGCATGTGGAAAAATATTGTTAATAAAAATTCCTTATTTTCAAAGTGTCTACTGTTTTGGGACTTTTATCCATTCCTAAATGACATCCATCTCTGACAGTTGTATTCTCTAAAAATCACTTTGTGACTAAAAGAAAAGTTTTTCACTTAAAATGCCATGTTTTCTTTTAGAATTATAATAATAATAATAAATTTGGAAAAGCTTCTGTTAGGTTCTGATCTATTTACCTTCTAAAATTTAATACATAGTAGAATTCGGTCAATTCTGTATAACCAAAATTATTGAAATATTTTGTCTTGGTTGTTGTTAAATATTACTATACTGGATTTTTTTCACAAAAATAATTTTTTTTAAATTGGATATAATCCTAAAAAATGTTCTCAGATTTATTTGCTTATTTTTGCCATTTGTTATATTTTAAGTGGATAAATTAAATGCTAATGTTACCTGTTGGCAATAAAATTTAAAAATTTAAGTTGATTATTATTATTTAAAAGGAGCTCAGTTAAAAATTAGTTTTATTGTATAATTCTAGCTAAACATTTTACTACTCAATATTCATTCATTTAAATTTAACTAGAATATAAAAAAGAAAAAAAATGGAAGAAATTTTTAGCTTTAATAAGAGGCTTCAGAAAGTTTTAACATTTTTTCAGAATTTATCTACTATATACATCTATCATTTAATTTGAACTAATTATTTTATGGGATCATTTGTAGTAATGGGTTGTATAAAAAAAGCATGTCAAATAGATAACAATCTTTTTTTTTTTACTGGAACTTCTAGTGTAAAATGAAAAAATTTAATTTAGATTAGCTAGTATGTTTTATATTTCAATATTTAACAAAGTAATAAGTTGTTCAATCTTTACAGTTCAAAGTTCACGTATTAAACCAGATAAATTAAAAACATTTGTATGCAAACTATGATAAGTTTTTTAAATATTTTCACTTTAATATATTTCATTTTTTATATATTACAAATTGTATCCTTTTTAACATTCTTTATCCTTTTTATTTAAATGTCTTGAATTTTTTCGAAAAATGAATTTTATCAGTATTTAGTCTAGATCTATTTCTAACTCTCTTATCTTTTTTGATGTAGATAAAATTCAATGATAGTGAATGTGGAGTGATTTTGAACAAAGGTTGATATACTAAATTTGGATTTAAGATATCATAAAAAAGTAAAGCAATTGTTTATATTGAGATATTTATATATACTTTTCTGATACACGAGTACATATGATAAGAGTTGGTCTTTCATTCACATTTCAGAGAAATTTTATAATTTTTATTATTACATAAGTCTGTAACGGCTGGAACATAGATAAATGTATGCATGGTATGCATTGTTTAAATCTTCCACCAAATATGTATTTGAATGAAATACAAAATGGAATCTTTTTTTTTTTTTAAGGTAAGGTAAATTTCAATGCTTGATTTAGGCCCTTATTATTTGTTGGAAGATTGTATGAAGTGTTTAATTTCTTAATATTTGTCTATTGTGACTATAATCTGTTAATGGGACTTATAATGATTTTAAATTTTGGATGAAATTAGATATTTTGAATCAGTCTCTTGGTTTAAAAGATTAAACTTATTGGTACCAGGTGCAAATACGTTTACATTTTTTTATTATTAGAATAAAGAACTAGAAGCATTATTAATCAATCTAAAATTTTAAGTGTTAATTGTGTTTTGGTAATGTGACATTCTTTAGTATGAAATGCATTTTGTTACTTTAAAGTCCATTTATGTTGAAATAAGTTCTGAAAATGTCTAAATTCCAAATTCCTACATTTTTCACTTGTATTACATTTCTTGGGGTAAAGTTTTTTACATTAGGAATTATAAACTTCCTAAATTACTTTTTCAAATTTATGATTTTAAGAATGTTGTCAATAAATGATTCTGTATTCATTATATGAAAATATTTAATATAATTATTGCATCTTAATATTAAAAGTACAATCTAAATAGATTGTAACTTATTGTAGTATTGTAAGAAATTATAGCAAATCTTTAATTTTTGCTCAGATACTGTATCCAGGGATGTATCCCAGGAATTTGAGTGTGAGTCACATGTGGCAGAGGGCTTGTGTAGACTTAGCATAGGTAGATGGATACAGTAAAAATGCAATAGCTGAGGATAACTAAAAAAGTTATGCAGTGTTACCATACTTCTTGTTTATTATATGCAAATCATATGAAACCAGATGTAATAATGGCAATACTCAATAAAAAGAGCTAAATAAGTATTGAATTTTATTTGCTACCATGTAGCTGTTTGAATAGCTTAGAATTTGTCTGATGCTCCTATTTTCTGTTTTGTCCAAGGATCAACTGTTTGCAATATTTTCTAGGCTATTTACATTTAAACTCAAGTGGAATGGCAGAGTGAGAGAAGTAAGAGTGTTAGCATTGAGAAATGACACTCCATCTGTGATATCCTTTAGTATATGAAAACTTATAAATGATTTAAGTTTGTCAATATTTTGAGTTGATATTTTTGAAAAATCTCTCAGGTTTCAAAACCATAAATTTGTGAATTAAAGGCACTCTAGAATTTTTTTTCGAACAGTCATTTTGAATTATTGTTAGTTATAGTAGAACTAATTTATACACATACACACACAATTCATAAATTGATTCATGAGATTTGTAGAAAAATTTATCAAACTAATGAATACTGCTGGTAAAGGTTTATTTTTCAAATGTTTTTCAGCTGTTTGCACAACTATCAAGATACTTCATAAAGAATACAGAATCTCCAATTTAAAAATCAAACATTTAGAACAATTTGAAATGATCATACTATAATGGTTGAAAAATTAAGTAGAAAATAAAATTTATAAATGGCGAAATAATTTAAAATACTAAGTGTGTAAATAAGTAAAATGTAAACAGAATAAATAACTAAAGTATTGACTTAAGTTAATAAATTGCAAGCAAATACAATAAATACTTTTTGACTTGTCTTATAAAATACAATTTGTTTCTAATTTCAGATCATTACTGTGTTCTCATTTTGAAATTTTATTTAAATTCTGTATTTGCCCAACTTTTAAATCTTGATGGCTGTATAAACATCCAAAAAAGATTTTTGAAAAAAGAATACTGCTGGTAAAGATTTATTTTGGCATTTTTATATAATCGGTTTTGCAAAAATGAACTTCAAATATCCATTGAATTACAAATTATTCAACTTTATTTAACATAACAATGTTACTCTAATATTCTATTATCTAGATTTTTATTAACTGCTATAGATGCTTTTGATTTGTTTCTACAGTTAAGAATTGAAATAAAATGCTTTAGTCAAAATATGGAAACTATATTAAGTCAATATTTTTGTTTTATTGAATTATAAAGTAAAACTTTTTTCTTTTTAAACTTGAAAGATGAATATTAGATTTTTCACTTTAGGAAATTAAAAAATGACTGTTAGATTTGATACAACTAAACTCATTTGTGATCTATTTTAAATTTTCAATAAAATTTTTAAAAAACTTTTTTTATGTATAAATCTTAAACTAATTCTATAACCTAGAGCAGTGTTTTTCAACCTGTGGGTCGCGACCCCCAGGGGGGTCACGAAGCCTTACACGGGGGTCGCGGGTAAAAGAAAAAGACAAGTGTTTGTAGGTCCTACACTATATTAAAAAAAACTACAATTTCAGCGAGAAGGCTGTACCTGTTTATTATACAGTACAGTTGGTTTTTTAATTGACATTTAGGTCCGAATGATGGGTGTCGTCTGTGCCTGGGTGGGTACGGCCCACCCCAGAAAATGATTGCTGAAAAAGTGTTGAGCTGACTTGTAAAAAGAAGTAATAAGTAGAGAGGTAGGAGTGAAAAACAC